CACTTAATTCTATTATATCGTTATTTCTTCCTAGTAAATTACTATCGAAATACGGCAAACCCCCTATTTCTTACTTAGGAAATCCCTAGCTAATCCTAGCGATATTATTAGTGGACTTACTACTAGAAGTAGGGCTAATTTACCGCCTATTCCCTAACAATTTGCTGTGGGGCAACCGTGCATTTGCCAGCTAATTTACGTGTAATTCTGCCACATTTAATAATAAAATACTAGTTTACTAAAAAAGAAGATCTAAAGATATTAAGAAAGCTTACTAACCTTAATATATAAGGTAATTAACTACTAAGCTAAAAGTATTAGTAAGTTAGTATATAAGCCTACTCTTATTAAGACTAAGAACCTTAGACTTTATATAAGGATAAATATACTAAGTAAGTACTAAAAAGCTAAAGAGACCTAACTATATCTTAAGGAGTTACTTAATATAACTATAGTAAAGGTACTATAAAGAGAAAAAAAAGGTGTTAAAGCTAGAGGTAAGGGATTATCTTGAAAAGGACTTATAAGAAGAGTAGTAAACTATATATATAATAATATAGTAATTATAAAAAGACTAAATATAATATATAAACTATTAAGGTAGTTTAATATAGTAATAAAAAAGAAGGTAAAATATAGTTTTTATTAATTTTATATCTTATTACTTAATAAACTTATAAAAAAGATAAAAAGGTTAGAGGATGTGTTTTACTTACTATATTATCCTACTTACTATATAGGTATTAGGGTAAGGATAGAGATTTTATTTATTTAGTAGTTATAGGAAAAAGAAAGAGTCTAATTAGCGTTAGGAAGTATAAGAACCTTCTAGTTAGCTATATTAAATAGAGAATAATTATACTTCCTCCTTTAATTTATCTTTTTTCTTAAAAATCTTTAAACTAGTGCCTTATTCTTTAATTAATCTAGCTAATACGTAGTAACTTAGGCAGTAGGGAGCTATCTACTATATCTAATTAAGTTATAGAATTTTAATTAGTATTAAAAGCTTAATTAGATCTTAAAAACTTAATATAATTAGGCTAGGTACTTAAGTTACTTTATGTTATAAGGTGTTAGTGTGTTTATTTATATATTACTATTATAACTAGAGTCCTTACTTACGCTACTATATGCTTTTAGTATATTAGCTTATATCTAATTAACTTAGGCTTATTAAACCTAAGAATACTAACTATAATACTAGAAAATATATGAAGTACTAGTTTACTAAAAAAGAAGATCTAAAGATATTATAAAAGCTTACTAACCTTAATATATAAGGTAATTAACTTTTAAGCTAAGAGTATTAATAAGTTAATATATAAGCTTACTTTTATTAAGGCTAAGAGCCTTAGACTTTATATAAAGATAAATATACTAAGTAAGTACTAAAAAGCTAAAAAGAACTAACTATACCTTAAAAGGTTACTTAATATAACTAAAGTAAAGGTATTATAAGAAGAAAAGAAAGGTATTTAAGCTAGAGATAAAAAGATATTTTAAAAAAAGTCTTATATAAATAGTAGTAAACTATATATATAATAAAGTAGTAATTATAAAAAGACTAAATATAATATCTAAACTTATATAGTAGCTTAAGATAGTAATAAAGAAAAAGATAAAATATAATTTTAATTTACTTTATATATTATTACTTAACAAACCTATAAAAATGATAAAAAGGTTAGAATAAGTGTTCTACTTACTATATTATTTTACTTATTATATAGGTATATTATATAAAATATTCTTAAAGATAATATTTATTATTATTAATCTCTTAGTACTATTAAGTAAGCCTTTTATAATATGCTTACTATACCTCTTTACTAAATATAAGGTAGTACTAAATTTATATTAGTAATTATATATATTAGGTTATAAGCATTCTAGCTTTAGAATTAAGTTTTTATTTATAATAAAGATATTACTTTAATTATTATATATAGTAGTCCTACTTAAAAAGTAAAGCTTATAAAGTAATATAAAGAATACTTTTACTAATAATATATTAATAACTAAAGTAGTAATTAGTAATAAGTTAATATTAATTATAACTATAATAAAGGTTATAAGGAGATATCTCCTTATTATTACTTTACTTAAGTATTTCTAACTCTTCTTTTTAATTCTAGCTTAAAGACCTATCTTTTTTAGCCTTAAGAGCTTAGCTTAAATAGCCTTAAGCTTTAAGTAACTTATTATATACTTAAAGTCTTTAATTCTTTCTTTATAATATATTTAAGAAATATATAAGTAATAGGTTACTAAAAGTAGTTAATGTACTTATTAAGATACTTATAATTAAGTTTACTGTTAGTTAGTAGCTTATCTTTGTCTTTAAGAGTTATATATATTTTATTCCTTTATATAGCTTTATTATTAAAGCTAAATATATTAAATATTTAGGTAAATTACTATAGTCCCTTTAGGTTAGATATAGTCTCTAAGCCTTGTAATCTTTACTAGTATATTTAATTTATTTTATACTTATAATAATATAACTTGTTACTAAATAGCCTAAAGAAAAGTCTTAATTATAAGTATACCTTATATCTTAAGAATATTAAATAATTTAGTGTTTATAAGTAAAAAGTAGTAATTTACTAACTATATTACTAAATTAGTAGTAAATAAGGCCTTTAAAAAGGACTTATTATATTACTTATAAGTATAGTTAGTTATATTATCTAAAGATAAACTTTATTACTTTTAAAGAACCTTAATAATTACTTACAAAGTAAGCTTAATCTTATTATTTAATAGCTATTATAAAATCTTATCTATCAGACTACTTATAACTATTTTTTAGACTTAAAAAGAAATAAAATTATAAACCTTACATTACTTATAAGTCTAAAGCTTTTATAATAATATCTTTCTTATAAATATAAGCTATTTACTTTTTATAACCTTATTTACTTTTATATAATTAATTAGCTTCTTTAGCTTATTAATATTGGACTTTTACTTAGTTAGTAACTACTCTTATAAGTAAAAAGTAGTATAATAGATCTTATATTACTAAATATTCCTTTTATAAAGGTACCTTATATAGCTTAAATTATCTACACACTTAAGAAGCTTCTTTAAGCTATTTAGATTAATAAACTACTAGAGATTATAAGTTCTTAATAAAATGTAAAGCTTTATATACTATAAGAACTAATCTTTATAAATTATTAATAGTCTATATAGCTTATAAATAGTTATAAGACTCATAAGTATATCTAATAATATAATAGCTTTATTATAATTATTTAAAAAGAATAGTAAGTTAAGAATAGTAAATCTAAAGTAAGACTACTTTATAATAATAAGAGTTAAACTTTAAGTTAGAGCTTATTATTTCTTGATAGTATTACGCTATACCTCATAGCTAAATACTACCTCATTCTTAAATTATAGAGTAATATTATGCTAGAAGTAGTGTTAGGTTATAATATTCTATATAACGCTACTTTATTCCTTATAACATTATAACAAACTACTATATAAATAGTATAGATATTAGTAACTAGATAAGGGCCTATTATTAGTAGTAGCACCTTATTTATTAAGGGGGCTAGTAGGCTCTTGCCTAGAAGTTTCTTCTACTAGTTATACTTATAAATAGCTTTATACTATAGTACCTTAGTATCTGTATTTTATGCTTACTATATATACTCTATACTAGGAAAGGTACTGTTAGGTATTAGGGAAACTATTTTTCTCTAGCGTATCTGCTAGCTATTATAAGCTATAGCGTAGATAATTAGTATAGGCTAGAGCCTATAGTTATTATCTTTTTAAGCACTACTAAACTACAAGTCTACTAAGGCCTTACTAGTAAATTACTTATATTTATTCCTATTATCTCACTGTTAACATAAGTGACTTTTACTTCTAATATTCTTACTAAGGAACCCTTAGATACATATATATACAGCTAAATTATCCTCCTAGGGCTGGGATAGACATTACTTATTATTAAAGGCAGCATTTTTACTTTCACTACCCTTCTTTAGCTAATATTAACAAGTATAATATAGGATGCCCTATTAACAACCGACGTCGCCGGTCGGGCGCCTATCTCCTGCCTGTAAAAGGGCCTATTCAAGCTCGTCTCTGTAATGTTTTGATGATTTAATATAAAAAGTATTCTAAAGAAATGGTTTTATTTAGCGATATATAGTAATTCTTAATAAAGTTCAAAAAGGCAGTATTCTAGATAGAAGGGGATAGATAGTCTCAGTATATTCGGCATATGCGTAAGTTAGTTAGAGTGATTAAGAATTCCTAAACGCTAGCATGGCCTGTTACATAGCGAAGTAACGTTGTAACGTCATTAGGAAGCAAATCGCCTCTCCACGCAACCATCCCGTCAGGACGTACAAGAACTAACTTGCGCTGGTAGAGCTGTGCACCACTGGACTCTTTAATTTCAACACATTTAAGGGGCAGTCGTAAGGCAGACGCTGCTGACTGAAGAGACTCTCCCATAGTTCCTGCCCCTGTACCGAAAGCGAGAAGCACGAAACCCTGTCCAAAGATATCAAGGGATGAGCGTCCATCTTCAAGCCAAAAATGGGGAGCTCGATGCCCAGGCCTAGCCGTCTGTATGTACAGGTCAGGTTGGTCTTCGGGTGCCGGCGAACCATCGGTAACGACCACTGGAGAGTGGGCATAATTGTATCCAAGTGCAAGACCAATGGACTGAAACTCTTGACGCATGTGGAGAGCAAGGGTTGTACCGAGAACACGTCTCTGCTCATCCGCGACCGGGCCGGAATCCAGTACCTTGTCCCTGCCTTGGCGCTCCTTCCAGAGTCCAAAGTTTCTGCTGGACAGCACTCCATTTCGAATAGCTACAGGTCGCCGCTCGATCTCATATGCATCAAGAATTTCTGGTCCTCCCCATCCTCCGAGAACTGCCTGTAATATCCAGCTCAGATCGGACGCATCGCCAAGGCCGGTATTCAAGCCGTGTCCACCTGTGGGCGACATGGTGTGTGCCGAATCCCCGGCCAAGAAAATTCGACCTGAGCGATATTTACTGGCCGTGTACTGGCTTCGACGCCACTGGTTCACCCGGAGAATCTCAAAAGGGACGTCTTCACGGCCAATGGCTTTCCGCAAGATGCCTTTCAAGTCCACTGTGTCGGGGTCAACCCTTTCACCGCTTCCCGCTACGGTAAAACGCCACAGGTCATGGCCGTCGATAGTGGTAAAGTTGGCCCAGGTGCCCTCGGGGCCAATAAAAAGATAACGTTCTGCAGCGGCGCCAAAGTTGTGATAACTGTGGAGATCTTGTATAAGAACTATTGCGCTGAACGCGAAACCGAGGTCCTGACCCTCAAAGCCAATGTCGACTGTTTTACGCAAAAAGCTGCTAGCACCGTCACAGGCTACGACAAATCGTCCGCGGATATACTCTATAGAGCCGGTATCGACGTGTTTAACAGCGCACGTCACACTATCAGCGTCCTGCTCCGCCGAGACCACCTCCGACGAGTAACGGACAGTCGCCATGCCTTGCTCTTTCACTGCTCTGGCCAGGATAGGGTCAAACAACATCTGCGGACACCGTCTCATCATCTCGCAGGTCTGCTCTGGTATCTCTCGCTCCAGAGCGGAAGGCATCTCAAGACGCCCGATGTAATGACCGTCGAAACTCGTACAATATATTGTGTCGGCTGGCAGGTCTGCAGGATATCCAGAGTTCACAACAGCGTCACGAATGCCAAGGCGGCGGCAATACTCCATGGTACGCTCATCTAGGACGCTAGCCTTGGCAAGGATCTGAGTCGAAATTTCTGGCTTCTTTTCAATGATTGTGGAGCGAACTCCCCGACGGCCGAGGTCCAATGCTAGAGCCAAGCCAACAGGCCCGGCACCAGAAATCAAGACATCAATGACATCTGAGTTCCGGTGATTGTCGCTCTGCGATTCAGACAAAGATGTGTTCGTCATTACTGCGGATAATAGAAGTACCTCGAGTGAACAAATGTGTCAAGAAAGGCTGGTATGTGGTAGGACTTAGTCTTCTGGAAATTGATATGTAAGGAAGGAGAGCTGCTGCGGCGTAAGGATAGGCATAGAAGCTTTTACCTTAAATATACGAATCGTACTTACAGCCGCAGGTAGCCCATCGGAATTTTCGGTGTCCGAATTTTAAACTCCATCATGTTGTTATCTGTGCGTAAATTACTTGAAATAATTTGTTTGAGTTTTAGGATGCAGAGCCTCTACGAGACGACTTCGGCATTTGGCTACAGTGCTGTCTGAGGAGACGACCATAGTCCAAAAAAATCAAGTGCCAAGTTCCATCGGTCCACCTAGAGTCAGGAGGATAGAGGCCTAGGCTTCCTGACTCGTAATTTTAAGCATCTTAACTAAGTTAGTGAAATCCCGATTTAGAGAAGACTTGCCCTTAGAAGGTTAATCAACTGGTTTTGATTCCCGATGATCCATGACTCATGTTCCTATGTTTATGCTAACCTGGTGAGCATCTGTTAAAGTGGACGAAATCGCCGCGTGCGCCCGGGCGCAAGGTGGGGGGCAATTGGCCGCAGATGCTAATTTCTTAGAAAGATTTTGTCAAATGTGGCGGAATTACACGTGAATTAGCCGGCGAATGCACGGTTGCCCTACGGCGAATTGTCAGGGAATAGGCAGTGAATTAGCCCCACTTTTAGGGGTAACTTTACTAATAATATCACTAGGATTACCTTAGGATTTCCTAACTAAGAAATAAGGGGTTTTTCTTATTTCTATAGGATTTTACTATAGTTATAAAATATATAATAGAATTAATTAATTAACTATTATAACCCTTATAATTTAATAATTAATAATCTAATATATATACTTATAATAACTAATATACTTATTTACTAATTAAATACTATTATAATAGTTAATAGGAATAGTAATAAAGTAACTATTTTATAATTATATAGTAATTAGTTTATATAGCTTAATATTATTTAAGTAAAGATAAAGTATTATAATTTCTAGAAGTATATTAACTTAGAGGCTATAATAATAAACTAATAAATTCTTAAGTTATATTTTAAGAAACTAATAAAGCTACTTATAACTTAATATTTATATACCTTAACTAAGAATAAGCTTACTACTTATTAAGAAGTTATTATAGTTATAGTAATTACTAAGATATCTTAGTAAGTAACTATATAGCTATATATAATAAGAAGTAAGGCTATTATAACTATACCTAATAAGCTAAGGTATAAATCTAAATATATAATAATAGTAAATAATCTTAACTAATATAATTTTATATACCTAAGTAACTAAATAAGCTACTATTATAAAAAAGTATATAAGTATACTACTTACTAAAAAGATATTAAAAATATAGCTAATATAGCTAAATAGCTTAATAAGCTTAGTATAGTAATAAGAATAACTAAAAAAAAGTATATAAAGTATACTTATAATAAGTATAGTAAAGTATTAGTAAAAGCCTAGTAAAAGCCCTTTATAACTTAAAAAGATCTTATTATATAGTTTAATAAATAAACTATAGCTTATAATAAATTAGTATAAGTTAATTAACTTAACTATCAGTAACTATTAATCTAGTTTAATAAGCTTATTATTATATTATAAAGTAGCTTACTTAGTGCTTAGCTAGATTTATATATAGTAACTAGTAAAATAATAAGTAATTAAATAATCTTAACTAGTAGTCTTTTTATAAGATAGTACTAAAGAGGGTTAAAGGCCTTACTAATAACTTACTATATTATAGCTAAGTAGGTTATAGTATATTTAGCCTAACTAGAAGTAATAATAAGAATAACTTAATATAAAATAAAGATATAATAAAGAAGAATAAATTAACTAATAAGAGGTATTACTATTAATAAAGTATAAGTAAAGAAGTAAAGTACTTTATATACTTTATATTTTTATTTATTATAACTTTACTACTTTAAAAATAAGTAATAAAGGCCTAATTATTCTTAAGTAAATATATAATATTAGTAGTAAATTAATAAGTATATTAAAAGTAATCTTAACCTTATTAAATAAGTATAATAAATTAAGGCTAAGTTATATTAGCTATCTAATAAATATTATATAAAGGTAGCTTTTTATACTACTTTATAAGGCTATAAGCTAAGTAAAATAGCCTTACTTAGTTTTAAGTACTACTAACTATAAATTTAACTATATATTATAGGTTATTATACTAGTAGTAGCCTTAATTAGTAACTATATTTAGGCTAGTACTACTTAAGTTATAATTTAAGGGTATAGTACTATAAAGGTTACTTGAAAAGGTACTAATAGCTTACTATTAAAGCTTTATATATATAATATAATATATTATAGTATATTTACTAAATTACTTATTTTTTTATAAGACTATACTAGTAAGGTATATAGTAAGATATAAGCCCAGGTAATAATTACTTTAGGTATATAGACTATAGCCTTATAAGCTATATTAAGAAATAAAGTAACTAATAAGTACTTATATATTATAAATAATATAGCTATAGCTAAAACAGTTAAGGCGCTTTTACTATATACTTTACTAATAACTTACTACTAACCCTATAAGTAAGAAATAAATATATAATATTAATATAGTAATAACTACTTTATAGTAATATAATAATATAGTATAAGTATCTTAGCTACCTAGGTACTAAGGCTTTATAAAGAAGTATAAATACTATATATAAAGTATATTTAACCTAAGTAAACACTATAATAATATAAGACTATAACTTATATAGTCTTAGTAAAATAAGGTAATAAATTTACTACTAGCCTTATAACTTAATTATAAATATAACACTAAATAATTACCTAGTTCTAGACTTTTATAATCTTAAATAAGGTTATATAAGATACTACTTAGTAATAATTATCTTAAATTAAGTAATAGGTCTTATATAGGACTTTTACTTATAAAGTTACTACTAAGATACTTTTAAACTAAGAATAAGAGGCTTTCTTATAATATTAAAAACTAAATATTAAATTATACTAAAAGTTATTAAGGCTAACTAATAAATACTATACCTAAAGTAACTTCTAAATATACTTTTAAATTATAAGATCTTTATTAAACTATTAATAGTAAATAATTAGGTTTAAAATAGAAATACTAAGTAAATAATTATAATTATTAAACCTAAGGTATAATATATATAATTTAAAATAAAGTTATTTAAAGTCTTATAACCTAAAATTATAACTATTACTACTTACCTTTATAATTAAATACTATTAGTAACTTAAAGGTAGAAATCCTTATATTAACTAGTTTACTTATATTATATACTTAATAAGTATACTAAACCTTTACTAATAGTAAAGCTAGATCTTTTATATTTATAAGCCTATAGCTACTAAGTATATATACTTATAGTAAGTATATAATTATTATAAAACTACTAGTAAAAGCTTATTACTTATATATAGATTAGATTTCTTATTAAGTATATACCTAGTAGTTTATATTATATTTAGTATTTAGTATAAAGTTAGGTCTTTACTATATATAATATAATATTTTATAAGAAATAACGTTTTAACAATTAAGAAATAAATTACTTAATAAGCTTTATAAAGCTAACCTTATAGTAATTTAATAATAAATTAACTAGCTAATAATAACTAGTAATTAACTCTCTTTAAATAAAGAAGCTAATAAAAATATAAGTAAAGTAATTAAATACACTAATATTACTTTACTAGGCGCTTTGTAATTAGGTAATATACTAAATTATTTATATTAGTAAGTAAAGTTTATACTTCTTCTTACTTTACTATTATTACTACTAAGTATCTTTTCTATAGGCTTTATAGATTTTAATATAAGGGGTAGTAAAATAAGAGCTAATAGTTTTTAATTAATTAATCTAATAGCTAATAGCTAAGTAATTACTAATACTTTAATGTTTAATAAGTAAATACTTAAATTAATAGCTAATAGCTTATTAATTAATTTATTAATAGCTTATAGCCTATAAGCTAGTAACTTACTAAGAACTAATAGTTTTAAAATAGTAAAAATAGTAATCTATTATAGCTTGTCTTATTTTTATATAATTAATTTATAAAATATTACTAAGTATAAAAAGATCTTAGAGGTGCCTTCTCGTTAATAGCTATCTATATTATTAGATTAACTTGTCCTTGGGCATACAATTTTCTCCGACGGCCAAGCTCTCACCTCTACGTAACTATATATATAGGTAGTTAGATTATACTAAGGACTTTATTTAAGGCTACTTTCCTTATAAGGCTTAGCTTATAGTAAAAGATTATAGACTATATATAACGTAGCTTATAAGTAATAAAATAGTCTAGTATATTATAAAGTTAACTAATAATTAAAGATTACTACTTTAAGCTAAACTGTACTTAACGCTACTTTATTAACTACATAGCGCTTAATAAGTATAATAGTTTTAAAAGTATTATTAGTAAGTTACTAGTATATAATAAAGAAGTTAGTAGGCTGTCTAAGCTAATAAGTATATATTAAAAGTTACTATACCTTTTGCTAATTTATAAGTAGTTAAAAAGCTACTTATATAAGAAATATTTTAAAAATATTAAAAAAGTATATTTATATAAGTATAAAATATTAAAGTCTTAGATAATAGTATTATAAGTAGTAACTAAAGGGTATTAAGTTTTTAGCTACTACTAGGTATATACTTATAAGCTTAATAAATAAAGTTAATTAACTAACTTTAAAACAAGACTTATTATTTATAGTAACTAATAAGTAAAGGATTTATAAGATACTTATATAGCTATATGAGTAAGTATATTATTTTAAATACTTATAGTAATAGCGACTTACTTTAACTTAAAATAACTTTAATGTAATATAATAAATATATTTATTAATACTACTATTAATAAGGTACTATTTATAAACATACCTTTATTTTACTAAATTACTAGCTAGATCT